CCCCCCCCCCCCCCCCCTCCAGGCCGTCGTGCAGTACCGAAAGCTGGTGCTCCTGCTAGACTACGATGGCACGCTAACGCCCATCGTCAAGGACCCTTCCAAGGCGCTGCTGAGCGAGAGGGTGAGAGCTGGACACGTGCGACAAAGGAAAATCAATGTCATGTCTTTTTTGCTGCTGCTTCTACTACTTCCGCGCCGTGGGTTTGTTGGAGTAGAAGTCCGGAAGAGGTTTCGTGGTCTGTTTGACGAGGTGACAGATGGATATGTTGTCATTATGAGGTGCACGACGTCAACAGCAACTACTTCCACGGTGCTGCGATTTTATATCCGGTGGTACAGAAAAAGGCCGTGGATTCCATCCCAACGAAGAGAAGCAGCGGCTGTCATACCCATATCATTATCATCCACATACCCCCCCGGAGGCTTCGTAGACAGCACTCTGCCGAGCATCCCAAAACGAGGAGAAACAGTACATTGTAGTACCTAACATGCCGCTGTAGTAAAACAACCATCCCGAACAACGACCACGATGGTCCTGCCAAGAAAAAGGCATTGCGACCAAACTTTTTGCACATCAAAGACTTGAATAGGGTGTGTTTAGCAGGGTATGCTCATACTCGAGCACTTTTGAGAAAATACTCAACCTTGAGCAGGGCCCTCTTGGAGAAAGTACGTACATGAAAAATTTACTCATCCGTATTCAACAGTTTGATTCAGTTATCTCAAAAGAGTTGAAGTCTTGCTTGTGGCTCCAAAACCGAACAATATAAGGTGCGGACCGTCCTGACAGAGCTGCCAAAGCACTTCATCACAGGGGTCATCAGCGGCCGCTCCCTGGGTAAGATCCGCGCGTTCGTGGGCGTCAAGGGCCTCTTCTACGCGGGCAGCCACGGGTTCGACATCCTCTCGCCCTCGCGCTCGGCGTACTCCGTGCACTCGCACATGCAGCGGTGAGTGCTGAAAGCCTTCTCTGGGGAGAGGCAGCAGTCGCAGCAGCGTTCGGGTTCTTCTATCGTGAGGTGTGCAAGGGAAGCGGCTAGCCTTGGGTGTCGATTCTGTTTGCATGTGAGGCCGGGGGAGAATGAGGGAGCTGCCAAGGCTTGTGTTTTTTGACGGAGCGATCGGCGGGCTGGGCGATCGGTTCATGGGCTGCCCTCTATGAAGTCCCACGTCTCGATACGTTTCTTCCGGTGCCAACACTGAATACTACACCGGTCGCCCCGGTGGTCTAGTGGGTAGCCTCGCAGCCTGCTAAGGGCCAGGTCATGGGTTCGAGTCCCGGCAGAGAGAGTTTTTTTCTCACTAAATAAATCCTGGTCTAGGATGAAAGCGACGCGCTGCAAAGCTCGTTGTTAGTAAACCATAATCGACTTCGTAAGTCGCGAGGGAAGGGATTGCTGTACCCTTCTCGCGATAAAAATACCTCAGGCATGTACCGCAGGAGGGGGTCCAACCCCCCCCTCCTATGTGACCNTGCGTGTCGCCCCCCTCTTTTTTCTCCAGCCTCGATAAGAAAGACACGAAATACGTTGCTAAGTATGGGGGGGGAAAGAAGTGTTCGACTACAGAATAACGTTGGGAGAGCCTGATGGTTGCCAGTGTCTCCACGAGGAGTAGAGGAACGACGGCCTGCCGCGAACGGGAAAGCTGTGCACCTTTTGAGGCTGCATAGATAGATGACTTCGGCGAGCAAAACAGACAGTCCCCCCCCCCCCCCCCCCCCCCCCCCCCCCCCCCCCCCCCCCCCCCCC